CCAGTGCGGCATGAATATCAAACTTCGGCTAGGAAAGTGCTGCGCCGTTCCGTTCCGTTTATGTAACTTCAGCCGAGAACGATATGCGCAACGTTACCTTCGACCTCAGTGTCTTCGGTGGGAAACCGATATCATCTTGCCTCCTACTTACTAAATTAATAAACAAATGCTTTTTTTTAGTATACCGACATATCTGTAACTTTCGAATAATTGACATTTAAAAATATATAAAAAAAAAGAAACTCTAAAATTATGTTAAAATATGTATACATATTCTTATAAGTTAAATTTTACATACTTCTCTTTGATGTGGAATTATCCCAGAAGAGATAGAATGTGTGAAAGTAACTTCTTCACTTACTTTAGTCATATATTCACGTCATACAATTAGCTTTATATACACCTCGTGAAAGGATGCTTTAATCGCCCTCGACCATCACTGTCCCATCAACGTGTCATCCCTCGTCTGACCGCATAGAGCTCGAACTGGGGTGGTATGAATTCCAACACTCGCTCGTTTATTCAGTATTGGTAAAACGAGGTTTGCGCGAAAATGGGGTGCGGAGCGTAAGTTTGGCAGCTCATTTTATCCCGTCCGCAAACGTAACTCGTCGGCGCGGCGCACGGACGAAGAGAGATGTTTCCTGGACGTTCCCGGACGGTTCGTCGGCGTGCTGCGGTATGAATACGTATAAGGCTGTACTAAAGTTGGCGCCGGGACGCTGTAATGCGTCATAACGGGGCCGGCACGCATACACAGGTTTGCCCATCCTAAACATGAGGAGATGCAACGCCGCCGTAACTTCAAGTCGCATCACCCATACATTCGCGTTGCATATAATTTACATAATGAGCATCCATCTACCTGGAAACGTTCGCTTGAAAGGGGTCGGACGAAAGTTAAACGCGCCCTCCGTCCGACGTACTTCCGAATGTTGCTCGATCCGTTTTGTTTGTGCATACAGAACGAATACGCCAGGCCGTGCACGCGATATCGTTCAACGAATTTAACGAAATCTGAGCCAAACGTGTAAAACATCGCTTTTCGAATATATTTTTTTAATCCATATTGAGAATTATCCTATCAGCATTGGATAAAACCTTTTTTTTTTTTTAATATTATATCGAATTGCCGTTGAATCACTATCCCAGGATACTTTTTTAATGACTGATGATTTTGTTATTGCGGTATTTTTACAAAAATGTAATTTAAAGTATATTCAATGTTAGGTTACCGTGTTGTTAATTTTGCACGGAACATTTGAAACGGGAAATTCGCGTACTCTTCTAATTTAACACACTGTTAATAGCGCGCACGCTATGGGTACCATATATTTTATGTGTTTATGTTAGTATTGCGAAATTAACGCGGATCAGCCATCGTACCGATTATGGCACTTTGCGATCGACAGGCAAACAAATCTGAGTTGCAACGAGGTACGCGTTACCTTCGTTTACACAGCTTTCCAATCTGTCTAGCTGTTCGCAATTTTCAGAGAGTTCACTGTATCCCGTTTACATTCGTGGGACGCGGGACATAAGCTCGTTTCCACCTAAAAGGACCCGGACCCTCCAGTACACCGTATGAATACGTATAAGGCAATATTAAGCTTTGCATTATAGGGCTATCCATCACGATACATATATCCCTTCTGCTTCAACGAAGCGTACAAGTGGCTAGGATATATACATATCACAGTACACGCAAAGTTGATCCTACAAATCCTTTTCCCCTGATTGCGTGCGTCCGTCTTTTTTTATGCTTTATTTTCAACGCGTAGGTAAAGAGATTCAAGGAATATATCTTTGTCTTATATCTAAATTATATTTTCAGGCTAAGTATATTTTAAAAATATATCTAAAGGGTCTTTTTATAAATGTGCGAGAAATAGCAACAAAAAATTTGTTGAAGTTAATTTGTAAATTTTGAAAATTCTGCGAGTGAAGTTTTTATTAATTTTTCCTTTTTAAATTTTTCAGTATCAAAATTTTATAAATGTCTAAAAAGCTAAGTATATATACTCTTCACCGATGCTGAGAAATTTGTGAAAAAGACACTTCTTAATCGATTGAATGTTTTATATACCATGTTCTATTTTTTGATAACAATTGTACTCACAATCTTTTTTTGATTGTATATTATGAGAGGAATTCATATACAGTCTGAAATGTGGACTCGGCATATAATATTCATATGTATGCAAAGTACTTCATATTTGCATTGCTTTAGCTGCAGAAAATCTTTTATCCTATTGTAAAAAAAATTATTCTGCGCAATTTTATCTTTAATACTATAAGTGAGATTAAAATCCAGTTAAAATTCCCACTTAAAAAATTAACCTAAGAATTTAATTTTACGATCGTTTCATTATCTCTGTGCTTAATTCGTCATTGAACTCTCTTTATTCTCAATTACTAAAATATTGTAAAAAAATCTGCAAATGCTTCGACATTTCCATACGATACGAATCATTTCCTGAATGGCGAAGAAAAGTTAGTTATCGGAAATAACACGTTAGAAATGGAAGTACGCCTTATGATATGCGCGCACGTTGTCCGAATACTTAAGCACAAAACGCATAAAACGATAGGTCCATGCATATAACGCCAGCGCGTACATTTGGCCGGTGCACAGTCAGTGGGTTTTAGCATGCAGAGCAGACCAACCTTTAATGCTGAAATATCGCTAGAACGTCGCAATGTTGCCCCGTCATCATCGTCGTCGTCTTGCCGCGCGATATTTCGAGACCGGAGTGCGCAAAACCCTTAACCGCACATTCAAATCTACCCCTTTGCTGTCATGCTGCTTTGTTATGTGGCGTGTACATAAAGTTACAACTATCATTGTTAAGTAACTAGAAGAGTTCTAACGCTTTAATATTATACAACAGCTATTATTCTCTGTGAGAGGTGTTTACCAAGTAATTTAGCAATAAAGCCATTGGCAGTGTTAAATGAACTATACATAGAAATAGATTACATGGACAGAAAATTAGTAATCCTATCGATATATAGTTGAATCCCTTTTGTGCCTAATCGACCTGCCTACTTAAGTGGGAGCAAACGTCTCGAGTTTGAGTGTTAGTTGAACGGCAAAACAACGAGTCGCCGAGGCGGAAAGCGGGCGGAAAGGAAGTTTTGAGGGCATCTGGAAGCTCCTAGTTAGTACTCGGAAAAACAAGCTGGCTGTCGTCAGGATAAGGGGATTAAGAGGGTTCTGAGCCAGCAGCTGGCAACTAACGCTCGAGCCAATTCCTCGGAACTGAATTGGTCTATAGTCGCAGTATTCAGACTGCGCGTCGGCTTCGACGAGCCAAGAAAGAATCTGCTGTCGTCGTCGTCGTAATGTATCGCCGGTATTTTGCGAATCACGTACACCTACGTGCATTGGAAGGAAAAAAAATGTGAATCATAACGAGCGAACGTTTTGCTGTGGAAATGATTAAAAATTAACTGACAAATTAACATACTTAAATGAGTTCTTAGAATATTATTTTTAATAATCTTGTAGTGTAAAATGGAAATTTTTAAATAGCTTAACATGTTATTTCTCTAAACTTCTTAGTTTCGTAAAATAATTTAAGTGAAATTATTATGGTTTTATAGAACGAGAACACCTTTTGAATTGATTTCCTATTGATCAAAGTAATCATCATTGGCTTCAAAATATTCTCTTTTATTCAGAAGAAATAGAGCTTGAGAAAGAAGTTTAAAGAAACTCAAATCAGTAACTTTATTTAAATATTTCGTATAATGGAATTTGACAGCGAAATCATAAATTTTCTGCGCCGTTCGAATACATCTTACACTTGGATCACCAGACACCATCGTGCAATAGAAACCGCGGAGGGTGCGGTCAGCGGAGCTTTCGGTTAAAGTCGAAGAAAGTCGTAAAGCGCTTAGAGGCAAAAATTCATCTTGCTACGGGATAAAGTCCGTGCGATAACTTTAGACGGAAAAATTTCTGCCGATCGCAAGGATGAAACCCCGAAGTTGTCGGACGATAAGTAGCGGCGGCCGGAGTTCGCTCGATTTCCTACAGTTTTCATTAGTGAGCGAATCGTATTTCTCTCCCCTTCACCGCGTCTTTCGCCTTCTTTTTCTCTCTCATTAACGGCCCGTCGAGTTACTCTACAATTTCCTCGACTAGACAATAAGAACAGCTGCGAAAAGAAAGAGGTACGAAGATGAGGAGAAACATCGCTTCCCCTTCCACTTGCCCCGGCTTTTCATAAAATCCAATTTAAGAACTACCCTGATCCCTCCCCTCCTCGTTCGTCCTTATTTCTCTAAAGTAGCGAAGATCCGACAGGACATTTTTCTTCAAGATTGTAGTTAATGCATAATAAAAATGTGCAGAATATTGGGAGCTATGAACTCAGCATATTTTTCTTTTTTGTTTTTTTTTTTTTTAGTATAAAACATAATTATTCACAAACAAAAAGCATAGAATTTTTAGTTTAAACGTTTATTTAATTATTAAACTTAATTATAATAAATAATAAATCATTTATAGCATTATTTTTTGTTCTTTGCTTATTAAATTCTATATAACTATTTCCAGAAATAAAAGTAGATATTTTTATATACAAAAAAGCAAATAATGTTCCTCTCAAATAATTACAGTATTTATATATTTTTTATATTTTATTAATTTTTTATTTTTGACATATATTTTATTTTTATCTTTTTATTTTATTTTTATTTTTATATCGATTTTTTTACATTTCATTCGCATTTAGTAACGACGAGACCTCTCGTGTGAAATGTTACAATTCTGCACGACAAGCTTCAAATCGTCGGTAACATATCTCGGGAATCTGTCGATAAGATTTTGGGAATTAAGGGGACAAAATGTATCTTTATAATATTGCATTTATTTTATCAGTTCAAACATACAGCTCGTTTTTTGTAGAAAAATATTATTTTCTATACATCGATTATTATATTGATTACTTTTTATATTATTTTATTGTTACTCGCAATAAATCTATATAATTCATGATTATAGTATATTTCAATTATATATAATGTATGCATTCAGAATGACAATCGTTCATTGAGCGCTTAGTAAACGGTTATCGTTCTGAATGCACCCAATGTATATGCAGTAAGAATAAAATTATTAGATCTTCTAGAATCTATTATTCTTTGGTCCAAGTTAAATTCGTTAAACTAAAATTGTCTTATATTGTTTAGGACATGGTTCCACATCATTCACCGCTTTTCGATAATTATTCCAGACATTCCGATTGATGAAACAGACAGTTCCACCGCCTCGTATGTATTGAGTATCCTGAAAAGTAATAAAATACAAATTATGCGTTTTTCTACTAAAGCTTAAAGATATAGAACTTAGCTTTAAAGATATAGAAGACATAAAAGAAGGAAATGTTATAAACTATATTATAAGCCTCTGTTACTTGGAAAAAACATAATTGATTTAATTAATTAAATTTATGTTTTAATACTTTGTTTAATAAATTTTTCTTATTTGTAAACTAATGTTATCAGCCCTGATTTCTACTTTTTTCTATAAAAAACATATACTTACTGCTCGATTAATATCACCTATGCAAATCCAGGTTCGATTAGCTTTACCTTCAACAGCCACCGCCCACTTGGAATGATCGCGGCTACTCTTAAAATCGATGTTAACTGATGCCAAATTAATAGTTATAATATTGTATACTCTAAAAAAAATAATAAAAATTTAATTTAATTAAAGATATGGATTAACTAAAATTTATTTAACAATAAAAATAAAAAATGTAACATTACTTTACTTGTTTGCAGTCCGTTGGCAGTCTGCCTCGTCCGTTTAACCATGTTTCGGCAAATAAATCTGTTTTTAACGTCGGTGCAACGAACTCTTCGTACAAATCTATAAATAAAAAAAAAGAATACGTTAATTATTTATTGACAAGATTTTGTAAAAAATATATTAATTATAATGTAAAAAATATTCCACCAATTATAAAACAAAAAACTTTTAAAATTCAGCAGACATTCAGGCGCTCCTTATTTAAAGATGTTATTCATTAGGTTATTGTATAATATTATATATGTAAATATTATATAAATATGTATTTTGCTAACAAGTATGTAAGAAAATGTGTAAGGTCACAATCAATTTTTATTTTAAGACCATTTTAAATAACGTCTTAAGATATTAATACGGCTCTGTAATTGACTTATAATGTTTTAAGATTATATTCATAAAATAACAATAATAACGAATTTGAAACTAATAAGAGTCAGCGCGGGAGAGAGTGCGCAATATTAATATGGAATAGTCAACTTAACTCCATTTCTGCAATGTCTTTTTTATTCAAGTTTTATATTTAAAACTGGTTTAAAGAACGGTTAGTTAGTCATACAAGTACCGACTTAAAAAAAAAATTTCTATGCAAAAATCATGTATGCTGCATTAATTTTCAAGATAATCAAAATATTGTATTTTGAGTCTCATTTTGAAGACATTACTTTAAATTATTTCTCGCAATATATATGAATACACAAAAATATCAAGAGTGTTTACCTTTCTGCCACTTATCACTCTTAGCAAATGATACGAATTCAACACCGCCAGATGATTTTAACAGCGTTTTACTGATGAAAGGTGCTTGTCTGATACGCTTCTGATTAGCCGCGTCCGTAAGCACTGGAAACATCGCGGCGAATGTAGCGGGGATGTTTCTCCTATATGCTATTATTTGATTATACATCAACTGGCGACCAATAAGATCAAATTGATCATTGTCCACGGAGATGCACAAAAAGCTCTGTCCATAATGCATTCCGGATGTCGGATAATCATATTCGGATCGGTTTCCCAAAGTCGAAGTCTCATTCACTCGTATCTGAGAACATTTTAATTTAAGGAAAATCTACATCTAAAAGATCTTGTATATTATAAAACATTGTCATAAAGTTGAATGAGCTATTCAGATAAAACATTGCCTCGGTCATTGAATGATGACGCTCGCATGGAATATAAGATATTTAGATTCGATTCTCGGCCGAGAATATTTTTCAAAATAAAATTATTTACACAGATGCTTATTAACATCACATTATTAAGATCTTAAGATGCTTATAAGCATCAATGTTATTAAATTACTTGTTAATTCAATTGTGATATTATTATTCCAGCTTCAATTTAGAGCTGTTTCAAGATAAATTATCACTGTTACAGTTAGCTTGGAAATTGTATTAATTCATAAGAAATATTATTAGACATGAAGAAGCATCTCGATCGAATATGGTATTTTTCATTCACGTGTTTAAAACATTATTATTTTTAATTATTAAATTAATGATTATAATGAAAATGTTAGAGTGACTGATAGACTTTAGAAAATCTATGAAAAAGACACTCTTAGAAAAAACGACATTAATCAAGATAATCAATATCTGTATATAATTTGTTTGTCTGACTATTTTGCCTATTAATAAAATTATCGGGCATTTATGGAAGATACTGAAATAACATAAAACATCGATATTCGGTGTATTCTTAACGCTGTTGTACGTACTCGTCTTGTATCGTTGCCGCTGTTGGGTACAGGTGGATAATTCGGAACGCTATGTATTAACCAGAAACCCTCTTGTTTGTTTGTCATCACAGCGCCTTTGGTATGACCATATTTGGCATTGATAGGTCTGTTAGGCGGATCATCATTGTACAAGACCCAGAAAGTCTTCGATGCTATTGGCTAAACATATATAATTATATAAAATATTATATATATATATATGTTTTGTTATGATTTATAAATATTATGTAACACACTTTACAATATAAAATAATTTAAATAAATGTATATTCCACAAAATTAGAAGTTTTGTATTCTTATAATTTTAGAGACTATAATAAATTAAAAGTTAATTTACAAATTGTGAATAAAAAATTTTTTTTATGATTAAAATTAATTTAATTAAAAAATGTAATTTTATCACTTATTGCGCAAATAATAGATCTAAATGGATACTGGAGTTGTACATATAATGTAATTGACACCAGACAAAATAATTTATCTGCCAAATACATTTGAATAAATAAATACATTTTCGTATAACGGTTTATTCTTACGTCATTGTATAAAGGTGCTAAAGTATTTCCTGGTATAGAATTTTTTGCGCTGATTTTTTTCGTGGATAACTGCCAACCTTTAGCAACAGTATTATTGGTCATATATAAATACGCTGTTCCATTTCTAATCATAGGATTGCTGCTTTCTGATATCTTCGGCAACTTGTAAAGCACATACCTAAAATCATTCCGGTAATTGTTTATAAAAGTTATCGACAGCGGAAAGCGCAAACACAATATGGTTGCAAGATAAACATGACATTATACTATTAATATAAGATTAATACAAGGTTGGCAAAAGATAATGTTCTTTTTTAAAAATTGTGTTTTTTAAAATATGTTTTTAATGTTTCATACATGCTTATAAACAGTATTATAAAAAAAAACATGTTTAAAACATGTCTAAAATATGATTTTTATTAACAGAAGCATTTCAAAATATAACTATTCTTGTTTAATATTCATTATAAGTTTAAAAAAAAATTAATTGATTACACGTTATTATTAAAATATATTTCGTTCCATACTCAGGTTTTTTTCATAAGTTTAGACATTTGAAAATAGAATTTTATTTGAATTTAATTATTTAATATATATAATTATAAC